TGCTCTTTGGCTCCAAAAGCAACCCCTCCAGTTTTCCAGGGGATTAGACTCCTTTTTTTTTTTATTTTAATCAGTAACTGTGAGTAAGTAAAAATGCGGATGGGATTTGCTGCTTTTCCTAAGCTCGCTCTGCCCTTCTGGCCTTCTGCTGGCATCCTCCAAGTGGGAAAGTTATTCTAAGGATACAGCAGAAGTGATGTCAAAGGGAGGTGTGGTCAGAAGTGACATTCAGAATCCTGAGGTGTGTCACTTGTCTTTCTTGGGGGCCGAGCCAACAGGATGTTCCTGGAGAAAGGACGATGCCCAACTTTGCCAGTTTAATGATTTCCTCATTTTTCTTGCCCCTTGAGTTCTCACTTTGAACCCTGCATGTAAAAAAATGAAGGAGGATCTTGGGATATTTAATACTCTGGAGTTTCAAGAACCATCTAATTTTAGAAGCTCACTGGACACCTGGAGATGTTGAGTCACTGTGTGTGGCTCCACGGAGTTTTCCTGGAGGGATGTTTCCCGTGGTGGATGTGTGTAAGGTGCTGCTGAAGCACATGGCCCTTTTCACCCTCTTCCTTAAAAACTCCTTCCCCTTCTGACCAGCCAAAGCCATTGCCGATGATTCCAAGCAGTTCCAATGCTTCCCCCAGTTGGCCAAGACGAGTGCTGGAGATGGGTCTCTGGCAGGAGGAAGCTCAGGAGCTGGAAGCAACCCTGGGAGCCTTTCCCTCCTGAGCATCATCAGTGTTTGGGAAATCCAGGAACGAATTCCTGCTGGTGCTGCCCCTCTTGCTCCATGCCATTTCTCCTGGCTGTGTCCTGTTGTTCCTAACTCCAGGGTGAAGCTGTCCCTGGGAGCTTCCCTCCTCCTGCGCCGCCTGTTCCTGGTGCTGGGCTCCCTGGGCTGCGCCGGTCCCGCTCTCCCAGGGCCATCTGGTGAACCAGATCAGGGAACAGCAAAGCCAGGTTATTTTTAACGTGGATCCCTTCCCAATCCAGGTCTCGGTACAGCTCCAGAGCAGTCCTGATGGCACAAAGGCAATTACCAGATTTTAAGGAGAGAAAAGACGGGAAGGCGCTTCCAGCCAGGAATGACCCTGTGGTTTCCTGCAACGTTCTCTGCCTTCCAAAATTATTTTTTTCCATGCCTTTATTTCCTGCTAGGTATTTGAACAGATGTTTTTGCTTCCAGTTGCTCCAGGTGGATCTTTAATTTATTTTTTTTTAAATGTACCCTGAGCAGAATGGAATTTGGATCCATACTGGATAATCTGTACATATTCATTGACATTTTGCCCTATTCTTCCAGAATTTAGGTCTTAAGTGCATTAGGCTCCATGACAAATGTCTCTGGTAACCTCTCTGTGGTGTCTCCTTGCTCACAGCTTAACACTGCACTCTTCACTATTGCCTTTAAATTCTGTTCCTTTAATTCCATTCCCTGTATGAGTAAAGGTATCTGAATTAACCTTCACAATGAACCTGCCGGGGCTTTTCCCAGTGTCCAAATAGATTCTCATTAATTCATCTTTTGTAATGCAGGGAAGGGTTGTGCTGGAGTGTTTTGCTTCAATTTTATTATTTTTTTTTAAATAGAGGAAAAGGTCACACCGAGGCTGCTCTCGCTGAAAGGTTTATTTTTATTTCTAAGACAACGGCTGCATGCAATTTTTAATGCTGCTCTTCTTGGAGGTTGACTGTTGTCAGTAGTACAGTTAATATTTCCTTCAATTAACAATAACCTTAGATAATGAAATTATGTTCTTTTCATTACAAAGTCATTTGTGACTTAGAAACCCCAAGGTGCCTTATAATATATAATTTGCACGAGTGAAAATAATTATACCAGAGTCAATTCTAGAAGAAGTTTGGGAAAATTGTTGAAAACAGGCAGTAAAGGAAGTGGATGTTGACTTTTGGGGAACTTTTCCCTTTGCATTTTGTGGGGTTTGGTTACTCAGAGGGCTAAACTCAAAATGTTGTGGAATAGGATTTAACCCTGCGGAATGTCTGACATTTGCTGAATGTTTTTATCTTCAACTGATAAGCAGTTGTAGGGTGTATTTTTATGCTACCACTATTTTATCAGAACCCTCTGCAATCTACCAAAGCAGGTGTTTTAATCACCACATCCTAATTAACTCAATGTATTTTATAATCTGTCTACCCAGCTCCTACCACTGGGGTCAAATTTTGTGGAAAGAAGAACGAAAATAATGGATTAAAAGAGAAACAGAGAAGAATTGTAATAAGATCAGCATTGAAGTGTAGCTACTGGAACAAAAGAAGAAAACTAAATTTGGGGCATAGGAGGGAGGACAGAATTAAAAACCTTGTTTTGCTGCTTGAAATAGCACATGGAATTGATGAAGATATTAGGGAACGAGCTTCCCTACTTAGTAGCTGCAGTAATCTTAGGAAATATTAAGGGATTTAATCTCTTTCATAGCAAGAAGAAAGTGGGAAGGGAAGGAGGAATTCTGGGCTGCAGGAACCTGCTTTGGTGTCTTTATTAACTTGGTAAGAAAGACAGAGAAGGAATTTCTACGGGAGCTTGTAGTGACAGGACACAGGGAATGGTTTCCCACTGCCAGAGGGCAGGGTTAGATGGGATATTGGGAAGGAATTCTTGGCTGTTAGAGTGGTGAGACCCTTGCACAGGTTGCCTCACAGGCAGGCAGGGCTGCTTTTTTCTGTATTCTTGAAGTTTTCCCTGTCTTAATCCCAGATGACACTCTTAATGAACAAGGTTGTGCCATCAGGACTTCTCAACGTTCTGCTGTTTCCCTAGATTTTCCAAATTAATACCTTCTCAGAAATTCATTTGGTTTTTCTCATTCTTTAATGAACGTCTTTGCACTTCCACTCAAAGACACTGACTTGGACTGATTGTTTTTTTGCAAATACATCAGATTTGGTCAATCCTGACTGTTCCCTGCCGCTTTTTGAGCGGTGGCAGAGGGCAGGGATGTGTGCTGGCAGCTGGACAGCCTCCTTCTTTGCAGCTTATCACAGCTTCTCTCTGCAGCAGCAGCATCCACTCACTCTGAACTGAACCATTTTGACTTCTGGTTAGGAAAAAACAGAAAAGGAGCCAAAAAAAATACCAAAAGGCTTAATCTGCTGAGTGGCAGCACAATGCAAGCAGGTATTGATGCTGTTGCAGCGAAAGAAAGATCCAGTGCCAAGGTTAATGAGGGGTGAGGACTGTTCTTCTCCCTCTATGTAGCAGCCAGAGCTGAACAAAAGGGGGAATGTTTGGAGAATCCCATGACATTAAAGGCTGTGGCAGTGCTGTCCTCCTGCCAAATCCTGGAAACCCTCTGGACGTTCAGCGCCACGCACCTTTAGTGTTTGTAAGCAAGAGCCTATGGACTGCAATAAAGATGTGAAAATATTCCAAAATGGGAACTTGGAGCCAACTGGGGTATCAAAGCAGCTCTGAAATGAAATAAGAATGATAAAGGTGAGGGGATTGAGGTGGGAAAGCAGCAGAAGGAGCGGCTGGTGATCCCGTGGTTGATGCTGAGCCTGGTGCAGCAGGCAAAGCTTGCTTTCCCAAAATCCAAGGGGGGAGGAAGATGTGAGGGAGGTGGTTTTCTCCCCCATTTGCTTGAACATTTATTTTCAGCTCCTTTCTTGCCACAAAAGGAGTAATTTGTTTAATTTTACAAAATGTTACTGAAGCTGTTGGAAGTAGAGCTGCAGCCCACGTCTTCTTAATAAATGAGTGTGTGTATTCCTGGAAGGAAGTTAAAATGGGGCTGTGTTATATTTGGTACCTTCTGAAGCACTGAGGCTACTTTGAGTACAGAATGTGCTCAGAGAAAGACTAATTTGCCACTGCAGAGCTTGATGGGATGAGATTTGTCAAGTCCTTGTCTCTGCTGAAATTCACTTATGCTTTCCTTTCTCTCCTGAAGATATTTTAGGGTTCTGTCTTTGAACTGAAGGGCCATAAGAACAAGTCAAAAAGCCTGAAACCACAATTAAATTCCAAGCGATGAATATGCATCTTATAATGTAGAGTTGGAGATGTTCCTGACCCATTTCCCTGAGTGTGCTCCTGCTAGCACCAGTGTTGAGATGATTGGGACATTGGAGCATCAGCAGGGTGGGTTTTGACTTCTCTCCAAGGATGCCATCTCTGATGGCAGGTAGTGGCTTCCTGCAGGAGGCAGGAAAAAGAAAGATTCAGTAAAAATGAAGATTTTACTGTTTTCTGTTCATTTACAGAGTCATGCTGTTTTGTTAGCTGCCTTGAAGGGTCTGGCAGTATAATTCTACAGGGAAAGGTGGGATGAACTCCCAAAGAAAACCTCAGTTGTTTTACTGGATTCAATGTTTTCTGCCTCCTGCTTTCTCCCCCAGAGTGTTTTTTTTTGGGTAAATGTAAACTAATACAGGATCAGTGGTTAGAAACCATGAAAAAATATTTAATGTAAACCTTTTGGTACTGGGTTGATTAAAATAAACAACTGTTCCGAGGAGCTGGTCCTGCTTTGGGAACAGTAGGGTTTCTGTTCCTCCCTATAATGCATAAAGCATGTGGAGTGCCTTGAGAGCTTTTTTTGGGTGCTGCACTTCATTTTGAGGGATTGCATTTTCAGTTCTCTGAGCTTTTGTGTCAGCTGGGAAGGGAGGATGTAGGAGTAACATGTAAAACTGAGGCTAAAACCTGTTTAGTCCCAAATCCTGACAAATAGCTGGTAAACAAGTATTTAAATGAGAGCTTGGACTTTGTTTTCTCCCTCTGGAAACCTGGGAAGGCCTTGGTCTCATTGCCAGCTCCAGTATCCCTTCCATCTCCTCTTATCCTGCATCTCCAGCGCTCCTCTTTTTTTTTGCCTGCATTTCTTACATGTCCCATTTCTCCTTCTGCTCCAGTGGATGTGAAGACCACTCTGAGCTGGGAAGAGCCGTGTTTTCTTCCAGCAGGTTTTCCACAGAGCCTCACGGGTGTTTCTCTCTCTCTCTCTCTCTCTCTCCCCCTGTCCTTGCTGCTGCAGAGCTCTGGAATGCTGTGAAGACTCCCTGCCCAGGCACACTCCTCTCCGGATTATCTCCATCCCAAGGAAGCTCGTATCCAAGAGGTACCAATTCATCCTCGTTTTGTGCCCTTCAGTTGTAGCACTTGGGTTTAGCTACTCCCCCAAAACCTTTTCTCTGCTCCCTCCAGACAGGAAAGCCTTGGATGCCGTGGAGGTTGCAGCTGTTGCTGTTTGATACGGTTCGGACTCTTCTTTCTATTAAATGATCTTTGCTACAGAAGCGCTTTACATTTTAAAATGAGAAGTGATTTCTGGGTCAAGAAATGCATAAGCTGAAGCTCCAGAAACACTCTGTGCCTGGTGTATTTTATTGTGTTGATTTAGAAAGTTAATAAACATCAGGTCTTCAGCAGCCTGGGTAAAACACACAGTACTTATGTGCTGCTCCTATAAAGAATTGTGAGAGGAGTTCTTTTTTTAGTGTTTATTGGTCTTAATATCTTTCTAGTAAATAATACATTTTTGTTTTATAATAAAAAGGAGACTTGTGTTCATTAGCTGGGTCAAAATCCCCGGGTTGATAGAGACACGATTCCTGATATAAACTTCTGTCATTTGCCTAGAGACAGGCAAATTGTTTTCTAATGGTTTCTATTTCTTGGGAGAAGAAAGCTGGAAACAATGTTTTAATATATAAACTTTGCAGTGTAATTCGGTTGGAGCAGTTTGTATCTCAACTCCTTATTTTGGTTTACAGTGCCTGGCATGATGAGACCTGAGCAGGTCAAGCCCTTTGAGCATATATAAATATGTGTGTATGTATATACACACACATAGGTAAGAGAATTTAATATGTTCTAAGAGTGGGAGAGCATGATCTTCAGGAGCTGTGAAACAGGAACAAACCCTCTCAGGAAATCCCTCTGGGAAGTATGCTGGGAAAATGTCCCTGTGTGCCTGCCCTTCAATTTTCCCTCAGGGATTCACACTTCCCTGTTGGGCAGACAAGACACAGGGGTGGCTGAGGTTTCTGTCTGACCCATCCAGCTGTTCTTGTGCAGAAATATGGAAAAACAGGGTTGGCTCTATGTTTTTTTTCATTTTATATGTTTTGCTGCTCACTTAATGACATGAACTTTAAATGTCAGCTGCTCCTGGGTCTGCTGCACTGCATTGGGATCAAACCTTTGGGCACACTCTGACCCTTATCCTTAAAATAATTTAGCACTGCAGCCCTGCTTTGGGAAAAACTGCCCTTAAATCAATACCTTCTCTTTGGATACAGACAAAATCTGGGTGTTTCTTCCTCTACCGCCACCCCAACTTGGGTGGGATGGGACAGAAAATGCCAAGGATTTCAGAAAAGCTTTTCCTTGCTTGTGCCAGCCTTGAGGCAACAACAATAATCCCCTCTCCATCTTCTGCTTCCCCTTTTTCCCCTCTTCACGCTACAAAAAATGATAAATTAAAAAAAAAAAAAGGGACTCTGATGCTGCTCCCGTCCCTTTTTTCTGTATGGTTTCCCCTGTTTGGGCTGTGCAGCTTTTTGGGGGTCTGAGAAGCAGAAATCCAGAGCTGTGGAAGGGGAGAGGCAAAACCAAGGGTGGGTTTGATGGGTGGTGAGGTGGGAGAAGGGACACAAAGACTAGAACTGATGGGAGATCCAGAGAACAAGATCGTGTTTCAGGTGAGAATATGTCAATTGTTGGTTTTGCATAAGAAAACTCCTGCTCCAAGGACTCCTGGTCCAATCCAGCTCCAGATTAAGAAATTTTAAGCTCAAGAGTGGAATTGATGGAGCCTGTGGAGACTTGGCTGACCAAGCAGGTGGGGATTGCTCTCCAGGCTGTGATTGCCCTGTTGGGGATCTCCAGCAGCCACTTCAGATATTTACTTTTGGGTGACTTTATCTTGAGTTGACCCTCTCCCTGTTAGACTCAGTGTCCATTCAGAAATCAAAAGGTGGAGGAAATTGAGTCAAACTTCAGTGTGTGAGTGCTCCATGTCTTAGCTTACTTAGGTTGTTTCCTGCTTGGGAAAGCACTCCCCCACATTGTAATTGAAATTCCAGCAGTTGAATAGTTAAACACGGTGTGTGTGTAAAATCCATGTGTTTCTATAAATACCTCTCTTATCTCTGTAATGGTTTGGTTTTATGTAAATATTTTTAAATGTGCTTTTACATTAGGCTGGTTTTTATCCAGTGTGTGTGAGTGGAATTTGGATCTGGGCCTGGACTTTATACTTCTGCTCCTTAACATTTCTGAATTCATGTGGAAAATTTCTGGACTTTAAGTCTCCTGAACATTTCTGCCAGTTTGGTGGGGTCTTCACTGGGCTGGGAATGAACTGAATCCAGAGCTGAAGTGGAGCATTTTTCCAGCAGCTCTTAGACACTTCAAAGCTGTGGAGAACATAATTTAGTGAATTTTTTCAGCACAGGAGTAAATCCTTTGCTCACAGATCTGAAGTTTTCTTGCATTGCTAGCTCTAGTTTTGGAGAACAAAATTCCTTTCAGAGAATATGTGATATGGAAAATTATTTCTGTCAAGCCAAGTTATGTGCTGCATCCAGCTCTGGGGCCCCCAACATCAGGAGGATGTGGAGCTGCTGGAGAGAGTCCAGAGGAGGCCCCAGAGCTGCTCCAGGGCTGGAGCCCCTCTGCTCTGGAGCCAAGCTGGGAGAGCTGGGGGTGCTCACCTGGAGAGGAGAAGGCTCCAGGGAGAGTTCAGAGCCCCTTGCAGGGCCTGAAGGGGCTCCAGGAGAGCTGGAGAGGGACTGGGGACAAGGCCTGGAGGGACAGGACACAGGGAATGGCTTCCCACTGCCAGAAGGCAGGGATAGATGGGATGTTGGGAAGAAACTGTAGCAAAAACATTTTAAAAGGTGTTTTTTTAGAGTGGATCTGACTCAGAAGTATTTGCAAGAGTGTCACTTAGGATGAAATGCTGGGTCCCTCATCTTTATAAATTTATCACCTTACACAGGGAAGAAGTTTCCCTATGTGATATATTACAGCTTATTTAGGTACCTCATAGAATCCCCAAATGGTTTGGGTTGGAATGGACCTTGAAACCTGCCCAGTGCCACTCTCTGCCATGGGCAGGGACACCTTCCACTATCCCACTATCCTAGCCTGGAATATTCCCAGGGATCCAGGGCCAGTTACAGCTTCTCTGGGCACCCTGTGCCAGGGCCTCCCCACCCTCACAGGGAAGGATTTTTTCCTAAGATCCAGCGTAACCTCTTTGTCAGATTGAGAGTAAGCTTCATTTCCCCTTGTCCTGTCACTCCAGGCCTTTGTAAAGAGTCTCTCTCCATCTTTCCTGTAGGTTCCCTTCAGGTCCTGGAAGGTCACAATTAGGTCTCCCCAAAGCTTTTCTTTTCCAGGCTGAGCTATCCAAATTCTCTCAGCCATTCCTCGCAGCAGAGCTGCTCCATCTCTCTGATCAGCTTGGTGCCTTGTCTGGAACTGCTCCAACAGCTCAGCAGCAGCAGCGTGCTCTGTTCAAGGACTCTGTAGCTGAGGTGAGCTTCTGGGAAACATCCTCCCTGTTCCCTCCACCTTTCCACAGTGCCTTCCTGCAGTGTGTTCCACATTCCTGCCCTCACAAAAGCCGTGCTGGAAGCAGGGGCCTTTCTCTCAGATGTATAATTCAGCCCCTCTTCCCGGCGTGCCAGCCTTGTTTGTGTTGATGAATGAATGTTCCCTGTGTACAGCCTGCAGATTACTCTGCTCCTGGAGTACAGTCCTGCTCAATGTACCTGGTTCTGATTAAGTGCATTTGAATTTGGGAGTGTGCTTAATGAGCTACACCTTTCACAGATTCTTTTGTTAATTCAGAAAAGCTGCCTGCTCTGATTTATGGCGCCAAAAGGGGTAAACTGCCATTAAAAGCATTAATTAGTCTTGGTTGACTGCACAAAGAATAGACTTGGTGTGAGCCAGTTTTTGATTTAGCCCTTTGATTTGTGCCTAAGCTTGTTAGAGGGTCTGTATCTCTGGCTGTCTCATGCTGGATTGTATAATTGGAATTTTGTGTGAAATTCTTGGGCTGAAGGAGCAAGAGCCAATTATAATCAATAAAGTTGTAAAGCAATTGGGCAGAACTTTGCAGATATTTTAGCACAGAAATGTTCCTTTTTAACACGTGGAAGTGAGAATTTGGGATTGGCAGATTGGCAGGAATGATATCCTGAGGGTACCCTGGGTACTGTTGGTGAACCTCAGGAAGGAAAATATTCTCAGGAGCCTTGGATTTTCCCATTGTGCAGCGCTTCAGCTGCATGTGAATCCCAGAATCCCAGAATGGCTGGGGTGTTGGAAGGGACACAAAGGTCATCTAGTCCAATCTCATTGTTCAAGCAGCATCCCCAAGAACAGGTAACCCAGGACTGTGTCTGCAATCCTTGGGATTGAGGGTTTGACTATCCCCAGGGAAGGAGACTCCACACTCCCTCTGGGCAGCCTGTTCTAGTGCATGGTCACCTCACAGTAAAGGTCTTCCTCTCCTTCAGGTGGAAATTCCTTCATACCAGTTTTTTCCCATTGCCTCTCATCCTGTGGTACCACCCAGCATATCCAAGTGATAGCACTGGTGGTTTTTCTTTTCCTCTACATCTTTACCCATTTTCTACAGGCTAATTGGAAAAAAACCAAAAAAACCCTAAACCCTGGAACATTTTGTTGTGTCCTATATTATATTGATGAGTGCATTTCAGCGTGTGGTAGTTCCTGTACTTCCCAATACTGGCCATCAATTCTCCATAAAAAAGTTTGAAAATTAATTGAAATGCAAATCATAGCCTAAGCATTCTTTCCAACAGACTTTCCATAATTATGCTTGACTGCAAAAAAACAATTCCACTGCTATAATTTTGGTAATTGCCTCTGGTCTGTTTGAGAATTAAGATTTCCCTCTGTCTGTATAAAGTTTCCATCTCTCTTAGATATTATCTCATTAACTACTCCATAAAAAGAAGGCTGGATTGGGCTTCCATCCCAACTTGTCCTTAAGGAGCCAACAGTTGGATCCTCCAGCTCTGCCTTAATTTCCTGGCAGAACTGGAAGGTTCCTTCTCCTTTTCTTCTTCCTGCATG